TTTGGTTGTGAGGTTTTTTGTTGGTTGCTTTTTTTTTTGTTTGGCAGTTTGTTTTGTTTTGTTTGTTTCCCTTGAACAAGAAGTTTAGTTAGATACTGGGGGGGAGCAGAAGGGTGAACTAAGCATCAAAACAACTTATGTAGGGAGGTTGTGGAATTCTTGTTACTACTGCAAGTTTAAGAACTGGTCATGAAGATGTAGGTATATTTCCCTCTGCTTCAGAGGGAGTGTATTATCAGAGATCCTTGCAAATCTCAGCATTTTTATAGCTCATGTCTGCTATTAAAAGGTGCATATTTTTCAGGGCCCTGACACAGATTAGTGATGTCTAAATATACAGTAATATAAACTCACTTTCCCACCACATTTTGAGAAAATTTGCTGGTTTGCTCCACAGATTCCAGCTTCCTATCCAGGAGTGTCTCACACTACCCTTCCGAGAGCAATATATTAAGCACAGTGACAAATGCCACCCATTATCATTCTGTTGTTGCAACAAGATCCTAGCTGAACAGTCTATAGAATAAAAATCACCACCAAGGATAACACTTCTCAACTGGACAAAGATTCTAGTATCAAGCCAGAAATAAAAAAATGTAATTTAAAGAACTTCAAAGGAAGCAACGCTACATATCATCAGTATTTTTACTCATAACCAGGGGCTGCCAGTTTGCTAATTCTTAATAAAAGAAGTTGAAATACAAGATTACTTTCATCTTAGTACAAATATAATTGCTTTTAAGCAATTTGCTCAATGTAAGGTTAAAAAGACTGTCAATAGACTCTGCCCTTCATGTCTCTGCCAACCTGAGCTTATCACCTACATATGCTTCTACTCCAACACCATTACAATATGCTATAATATATACAATTATTGCCCGACTGCTGCTTTAGGTAGCTGCGGGGGGTGTGTGCGCACATTTAATTTTTGAATTATTACCTTACAAGCCTACTCCATGAAGAAGCAAACTTCTGAAATAATAAAATGGGCTTCCTTTAACACCTATAACTCTCAATCAAAATTAAGTCAACAATCCCATGCAAACAGATCCTCTAAATATGACTTAAGGCTGAAGTAAAGGCTTTATTGGGGAGAGACCTCATAAGGCAGGGGATCTGACCCGACAGCTCAGGCCACTGAAGGGGGTAGCTTTGTTCCTTCCTCTCACCCAGCACCAGCTCCTTCTTTGCTCTCACCGTTCCTGCTAATACCTGACCCCAAGATGAGGCAGTGCAACTCACCAAATGAAAAGAAAACCTACCCAGAAAAAGAGCAAGTACTTTGCTGCTGGCTTAGCAAGCTGAACTAGCTCAACCAGAGGCTGAGCACGGCCAAACATGACAAGGAGATAGGAGCACACTGCCGAGAGGATACAAGACAGCTAAACCATCATTTCAAGCTGTGACTAGATCATTTGAGTTTATGAAAATTTACCCCTTCTGTTTAACAAGAGATCACTGTACACACCCAACCTGAGAACCAAAGTTAAGGAGGACTGAAAGGGAAACCCTACTGACAGTGTAGTTGAGAATAACTACATACATATGTAAGTAGGTAAAGCAACCAGATATTCCATCACAACTTAATCTCTCCTTACTAAACTACAGGTTTTTATGTGGGTTTTCTATGGATGCAAGTCAGAAAGCAGCAGTTTTCTGGAGGCCTGCATTGCCTTATTAACACAAAGATAGCTGCCTAGGTTTTATGATAAAACCAACAATGCACTGGCTCATAAATGATGTGCTTTCTATGACACAGAAACCATGGGAACATAGTGATATTTCATAGCAATGGTAAAGTTCAGTGGGAACATGGAAACATGAAAAAGTAAAAGTTCAGCTTCCTTTTTAAAGAGGCAAATACCAAAGTTGGGAGAAAACACCTTTTTGCTTCAGAATGTCTCTTAAAGACAGCCTGAACTGCTGTCCAAAGCTCTCTCTTGTCTCTCTGCCAAACTATTATCACTGTTTATTACTACTCCAATCTCCACACCACTGTCCTAGACATTAGACATAACTTTTGAACCAAGTTCTGTGGAACAACAATCAAGGTTAAGGGAACATCACCAGAAATATTTTTTTTCTTTATATGGGTTAAATATCCCAAGTAGAACACATAAATTAACAGTCTACTTTAAAAGATGACTAACAAATTAACATTGCAAATGCAATGTATTTAGAATTTAAGGGAAACTAGAAGAACCTTAGCACTATTGATTTCAAGATGTGTCCTTTCAAATGGTACCTTTGATTCAATGTTACAATATTTATTCTTAAGTGTTGTTCATGGCTTAAGAGCGACTCTTACTTCATGTGTACTGATCTGCAATGGATTACCAATGCAAGAATTATCTCAATATCCAACAGATACAATTACTTAAAGTCTTGGTGGTTCTTTCACTCATTTTATTAAAAATATAACATTTTCTTAGCAAGAAAAGAAGATCTTAAAAATGGTAAAAAAAGAAAAAAGGCAAAATCATATCTACCTGATACATACACACAACACAGCTTCACTGAATTCAACTCATATTCTAATATGACTTTGCGAAATTGACAATTATAGTCTTAAAGTAATTAGGGAATTTTTTTTAAGGGATACTTAGATAATTATGAACCAACGGTTAAAGCTCGAGTTATTAGCATATGTATTGTGCAGTGGATCCCAAATAGCTTGGTCTTCAACAGATGAAGTCCCTCTCTCCTCCTGCCCCCAGAACCAAGACGGCATGCAGAGTTTGAGAGTTTGTCCTTAAAAGGCAGAATTACATACTGTCAATTTAGATAATAACAGCTCTCTCCCTTTTATGATAGCCACAAGATATCTTTTGATTCTGGAAAGCTCAAATAATCAGTTTGAAAGACTGTCAGCCTGTTTCTATGTCAACTTTGTACACAGAAAAAGCAATGACTTGCAACTGAATAGTTTCAAAATAAATTCTAAAGCTGCGAGTATTACAAGCTTAAGACAGACTACCTTCCCCATTCTCATTTAAAGCATTTTTCTTCATTGCATTTCAGTCTATTTCAGCTATTTCTCTAGGTTCACTTCACTAATGTATTACATACACATACAGAATATACACTGTATTTTAAATTGCTATCACTGTAAAAGGCTACTGGAATTAATTCTGTTCTAATAATGTGTATGTTTTATACTACTTGGAGAAAAAAATATTCAACACTAACAGGTACGCTTCAAAGCTCTCAATTTAACAATCTGACAAACTAAAATTATCTCAGTTACTGTGTATCCCACCAACAGCTTTAGCATCTTAAAAAGATTAAAAAAAAAAATCACATACTCAAAATGATTTTATAATTTGAAAAAGTTATTCAGGTCCCTATTTTTAATGAAATTCCAGGCTTTAGTTTTTATTTTTTAGAAGTGTAGCAAGAGATGACTAAGACAACTTGCAAGAATCACATGTATCATTACTAAACTACATAAAGGCCTGCTCTGCAATCTTAGTGAGAGAACTCTTCAGTTACTCTGTATGGAAAAAACAGATATATCAGAATCCAAACATGGTAATAATTTAAGATACAGATTTTCATAGAAAACTGCCAGCCAGAATACCTTGTAAATAGTAAGCACAGCAGCTGCTTATAAACAGCAAATACTGTTTGATAGAAAATATTGCATGCTGAAAGAAACTATTAAGTACTACTTAAAACTAGACTATTAAAATTCATTAAAGGATGAAACTGAACTTTATATGCACACTTTCCCATATAATTATACAGGACATATCAGATCTGTTAAGTCACAGTCAACAGATAACCACATAGCCTTTATTCTCCAGTTGGTGCTTACACTTTTTACTGAGGAGAAGTGAAATGGACGCTAGTTTAGAACACCATAGATTCAGATATAATTCCTTGCTCATGCACAAGCTTCCTGCACATCCTCGTGTATGTCACTAGTTCTCTGTGCCTTCAACCCACATTGAATGGTGGGCTAAGAGCAAAAAGATTTCAAAGTAGTCACACTCCGGCAGCAGAGTCCTAGGTATGTAAGGTAACAAACACCCGCTTTTGGAAACATAAAACAGAAAACTGACAACCATTGTACCTGCATTTACATATATCAGGAGTGACACTGGTTCACTCAGCATGACAAATTCTGAATCCTCCTCTAAATCCCATAAAACCAAGGACCTTAAGAAACAACAAGTAGAAAGTGTTTGCTCACAAATGTGGTGACCCAAAAGATCAAATCCATGCTGTTAGTCCTGCATCAAATAATGACAGGTAAAGAGTCTCTATCAAGTGCATCAATGGTTCTTGCCTGTAAAAGCAACTTTATCCGTGTTAATTATCTGACATTTAAAACTCAGATCACCTCACTGCTCCCATTTAAAAACAATCCCCAAACCAGTTCACACTTCAAAGTCACAGTGAAGGCCTAAAATTAAAGTTAATATTGTAGCCACTCAATCAAAGCTAGAAAGATTCTGGAAGCAGGGACTGACACCACCGTAATTATGACAGGCACCAGCATTTAGCAAACTCAGACCTGAAGCAGCAGGTGAAGGAGGCCCAGGGTTGACTTACCAATGGAAAGCCAACCTTCACTCTTGCACGCCAAGGAGGATCCAAACAATCGCATCCCTCCAAAGGCTCAAACAACCGTTGGTGACACCGTACTTGACGTGGCCCGCTAGTACGGAGCCAGCGCCGGTCCCGTCACACAGCCCTCCAAGCCAGGCCTTCACTGCCCCTGCCCTAGCGGCTATGCCGCAGGCCAGTTAATCGGGAGAGCAGCTCAAATCCCAGCCACAACCGGGCCGCAACCGAAAAGCTGCCAGGCGCAAGGCCGCCGGGGGGCAAGGGGGTCGGAGGAAAGCCGGCCCAATTGGGCGGCCTCGACCCCCCGCCCACGGTGCAGCTCCTGCGGCGGGGCTCCCACGCTCCCCGGCAGCCGTCGGACCCTCGGCGGGCGGGCGGCGCGCAGTCCCCACCATTCCCCCCTCAGCCCAGAGACCGAGCCCCGGTACCTTGCGGACCCCCTTGTAAATGTAGAAGTAGAGCTCCCGGCCCACATTGAAGCAGAGCCGGTCCCCGTTGCCGCTCTGGTCGTTGACGTTGACGAAGGAAACGCGGACCGGGTTGGAGCCCTGTGAATTGAAGGGCACCCGGTTAGGTCGGCTGTACTCCGAATGGGTCAGCAGCTTGTACAGCCCCTCCCGGGTGGTGAACTGAGTCTTAATCTCGTTCATCTCCTTCCCTCCTCCCTCCGCCGCCATCTTGGAAAGGAGCATTCATCCTGCCCCAGTGCCCGGATGTAGCGGCACTGCGCAACCGTCACCGCCGCCAGCGCTCGCACGGCTGTGCACAGAGGCGGCCACGCAAACGACGTAAGGGGGAGGAGCGGCGGCGCCTGTTTACTGCGGGGCTGCGCACACGCTGGGTCGCTTCGCCTGCCCTTGGGTGGGCCCTCGCGGGGCAGGGCGGGGCACCGGGTGGCGTGGGTAACTCGCTGTAGTGATGGGGCGCGGAGGGGTAGAGGTGCAGGGGAGCTGCTGCGGAGGACAGGGAGAGCCGGGGCGCGGGCTCTGGCTGGAGGGTGTGAGGAGGAGGAGCTCTGGGCGCTCACAGGGTCCCGTTGCCTCGGGACGTGGGCGGTGCGTGGGGTGAGGGCGTAACCGGCACCGCCTGAGGGGCCGCGCTGGAACAGGAGGTGTCCGCCTGTGCTGGGGCAGAGCCGCTAATGCGAGGCTCACGGTTCCCGGGTGAGAGGTCAGAGTGAGGCGCCGTCGTCCTCGTTGTGTCCGTGGGCGGGTTTGTCCATACGTTACTGCCGGAGCATCCACCAGCGCCTGCAAGCCTGGTCAGGTGTTGGCTGCTAAACCCCGCTGGGAGCGTCCCGCGGGTAAATCAGTTGAGGCAGCAAATGCAAGTGTGCAGCTGTGCTTTGACGCTTCATGTCAAGCCCACGCTGCCCCTGAAGAAGACAGCATAGGAATTCCTCCGGCTCTGCACCACCTCCAGCTGCCAGCTGCACTCAGAACCAGGCTGGGGAGGTGACCTGAAACGGTAACCTGAAAAACTGGTTGTCAGATAATTCACCTCATTGTTCTGATCATCGTGCAACTGTACAAGCAGCTGTGTTACACAGCGAACCACATCAACGTCAGGTGGAAGTCGTGTAGGGTTGGAAAGATTATTTTCACTGGGCAGAAGCAGGACTGTTTCTTTTGGCAGCAGTCTCAGCTTAAAGAGCTTGACTAACGAGAGCCTCATGGTTGACTCAAACTAAGACTGATCTCCATCTGTAAGAAAGGGTTCGACTCCTATCTTCAGGTACATATTTCTATTACCTCCCTTGTAACCCTTGTACCCCTTGTAACTAGAACCCCATGGTTCTAGTAACCATGGAACCAAAGGCTGCGTCAGATCCACTTGAAAACTAACACACACAAAGAAATTACAGGTTCTTGGGTAAGCAAACTGTCGATCAGCAGCCAGACCAATACAACTCATCACAGAATTGCTAGGGTCAAAATAAAGAGGGACTTGGGAATGTGCAACCAGGGGAAGACAAGTAGCACAGAGTTAGATCACCATATTAATAGTAAAAGCACACTTTAAAGGTATAGTTTCATGCTGTAGTTGTGTTGCTGTAATGCAGCTGCTACCAAAGGCATTGTCTTGCTCTCTACTTTCTTGACTGTGACCCTCTGCTGCTGCTACTTCCCTCCCAAGCAGCAGTGCTCATCTGGCCCGTAATGAGCCATTTCTGAAAGATAAAGGGATAGAGAATTAAACTCCCTGAAAATGTGAAATTAATAGAGTTAAATGAAAAACATGGACTGTGTAAGTGCGGGGACAGGAATGCACAACAGAGCTGGAGGGAAGGAGGACCTCCTTTCCACTAGGTCAGCTCAACAACAGAAATCCATTCAGACTGCAGGGAGTTAAAGGGATTTCAAATCAATTGTTTCAAATTAATTTAGTTCAAAGAGATTTAGTTTGCAGCTTAATACTCTCTTGCTGCTGACCATCAAAGTAGTAGTACAAGGTAGCTGAGAGATATGAAACAGCCAAAGTTCTGCAGGTTAATTCATGCAGAGCAGAGTATGTATCTGAGTAAATACCTGTACAAGTACAAGCTAATCAAACCTCCAAAAGGTGGTCAGGTATTGAAGCCTTGCTTGAAATTCTTAATGTTAAAAGCAATCAGTAATAGCCAATAGATTTTGTCAGGTTATCAGCCAGCCTTGCTAGATGGTATTGATAATCTAAAAGCACATAAAGTAGGTGAGCAGATCTGCAATTATATTAAGAATTGGACTGAGCATGGTTCTTGCATGTGGAAATTTCACAAATTGACTTCCAGAGAGAGGGCAAGAATGTTTTCAGTCACCAAAAGAAGAGCAGGAAGTGCAAGAATCTCTTCATAATCATACTAAGATTTAAAAAAAAAAATACTACTTTAAGCAGGCATACTCACTATATCTTATTCATTACACACTGACAACATTGGATAGATCACTTTGAGGAACAAAGCAGGCAACTTTGTTAGAGGAACCATGTGGAATTCAAATTGTACTGTAACCACAGCAGGCCCTCTATCACCAATGGAATGAGTGTGATCCAAAGAATAAACAAAGCTAACAAGTACCTGGTTATCAGCAGTACATGATGGTGCAGAAAGTCAAAGAATTGATGGAGTGTTTAACATTTACCAAGAAACATCAACAGAAGCTGCTGAGAGATTCCACTGAGAATCCAACACATTCATTTGAAAAACACAGCTGCAAGTCACAAGAACACTATTGTACAGCACCACCAACAATAGTCATCAAATACTTGGTCAAAGAATGAGAAAAGGAGATTACAAAGATAAGCCTTCTGAAAAAAATTCTCTGTACCACTCATAAATTCTTCTGTTTCAAGCTAACCAAAGATGATAGTTCTGAAATGATCCCATGAGGACACTGCTAGATGTGCTGTTTTCTATGCACTATGTAACCAGTAAATACAGATCAGTCAGTATCGTGCTGCATCATGCATTTGCTTCTCATAAATGTTTTGGCAAATTGAAAGAAGGACATGAGAAAAATTCACTCATTAATGCATGAGTGAACAATAAAACATTAATAGTGTGGTCCTTTGAGATTGACGTATGCAGGGCATAAATTGGTCCTGCAGCTTTTCAGGATGTAGTGTTGTGCTTTTGCTGGCCACAAGGAAACTACAGCCTTAAAACTTAACGCAATACAGTACTGTTATCAACAAAACTTTTTGCTGCTTTGAGTGCTGTTACTTGCTGAGAAGTGCAACAACTGATCTTAGTGATGCTTTTACCAGAGAGGATGGTGACCACACCCATATTCCATAACGCAAACAGTATCTATTCTGGTGTGCACTGCCTGCAGATTGCGATATACAAATCAGGAGACCATCTTTGCAGTGTCTGTCAACCATAGTTAAGTCTGACAAGTCTTGCTTGGACTTCTGATGCCAAAACCAGTTTAGGCATTTAGTGTGTGACTGGCTTAAGAGTTCTAAGGTTCAAAAACTTTGCAATGTGTCAAATTTTAACGAATTATGAATATGTGTGAATTACTAACAGGCAGAGGCATAGAAACATAAGTGACACATCTGAACTACTTAAAAGATTGATGCTGATGAGGGGAATGGCATGCAAGTTCTATTTAGTATGGGGAGAAGAAAAATAATTACAGTGTTGGAAATCTGTTTCCAATGACTTACATGGATTTTAAAGTACTTCTAACTTGCTTTCATCATGAGAAAATATTGTTTATGGCTTAGTTTCATAGCACTTCATTTGCGTTAAGAATCTTTTCTTAACCACTACATACATTCAACACGAAATACATGAGATAATGCATTATGATGTATATTACGAAATGAAAAGCTGTTACCAAGTTTCTGCTATGCTAGAATACATTGCATGTTGTTTGTATTCTCATCCCTCCTCCGCAGCAAGAGCGTATGAAACATTTTGTTTTCATAGTTGAAGAGGGTTATTACTTAAATGGGTATTTTTACAAAACAGACATTTGGATTGAAGAAGACAAGGTAAAAGAAGTCTGCTTTGCAGTTGGGATTGGATAACAGTGAATTCTGTTGTGGTTTTGGAAGGCTTCATTTTGGTGTTTGCACTCAGCTCTCTCCAAGTTGCCTCTGGAACAGACTACCATACCTCCATAGTGAAAATGCTGCTCTTGTCAATAACAGTGCTTATCTTGAAGCTGTAGCTGTCCTGGAAATTATGTTCTCTGAAGATGAGACTGAGATAATTAATTTAATTTAAATTATATGGAAAGCCAGAGAGATTGGTTGTGATATGTCTGCAAATAGCTTGTGTTTCTAAGATGTACTACAGCATTATGTACTTTTCAAAACTCCCTAAATATGGAAGACATCCATACACAGTATTGCTGTAATCCATGTGAAGAATGAGAAACCTATGCATTACTAAGGTCTGACTGTTGGCCAGCAGCAATGATTGAGTTTCTTACAGAACTGGAATTTCTAGCCAGTGATACTTATCAGTGCTGCAGTGCGAGAATGTAGTGCCATGGAGAAGGTTGAGAACACTCCTAAACTGCAGTCTTCAGTAGACTCTTACATATTTTTACCTTAAGCAACAAAAGATTCAGTACATAAATGTTTCAAAATTATTTTCTATCAGAATCAGCTATTTAACTGAACTGGTTTTCATTGGGAAGCTTGTGGTTATGTTACGATAATACATGGTTACTGATAGGTGTTGTAGGTCATCCAAGCAATCTGTACTTGGTGTAGCAGTTAACAGCCACCCATGCGAGCAAAGTTGTTGCTATTGTGTTTTAAGACTCCCTAAGCAGAACAGGAAATAAGGAAAGCTGAGACAGGTGTCCTTGGAAAGAACAGACTAACAGCCAAGGAAAGGGAAGCATTACCAGCATAAAACAAAGAAGTGAGTAAGATCTAAAAAGTGAATCGAGAGCCTCTGAGCATTTTGCACTTAAGAGAGGTATGTTTATGATGTTTTAGATTTATCCTGGGTTCCTCAATCTCCTCCATGTCATCTTCCTAACTGATGATGATATCCTTCTCTGTTGCTTTGGTGTGTTTCTCAAAGAGAAACTGAAAACTTGTTAGCACATTCTACTTTCCCTTATCACCTTTCTCACATGAGGCAATATTATCTCAAAGATGTTGCAGAGAGCTTCAGAAGAAAATGGCTATCTGCTTTCTGTCTAGTCATAGAAGAAGATTCTCCATCAGTGTAATAAGTATAATTTCAGTTCCATGGCTGGAATGACTATCTCCAAATTGATTTGGATGAAGCATTGAAGTTTTAGATAAATG